GGCATCTGCTCCCTGATGACAGCTGTAATTAGTCATCACTTTGTGCTGAGCCCTGCTTTCAGCTGGGATAGAGTTAATTTTTCTTCCTAGTAGCTGTTCAGTGCTGTGTTTTGTATTCACTGTGAGAGCAACACTGCTAACACCCTGATGTTGTAGTTGTTGCTAAGGGGCGCTCACTCCAAATCCAAGTTTACAGTTTCCATGCTCTGCCCATGAGGAGGTGCATGAGGAGCCAGGCCAGGACATGGACCCAAAGTAGTCAAAGGCACATTCCACAGCATGTATATAAACTGGGGAGGGTTGGCTGGGAGCACTGGTGGCTGCTCAGGAATGGGTTGGGCATTGGTCAGCAGGTGGGGAGGAGCTGTATTGTGCACCATTGTCATCCTGGGGCTTATTTTTCTGTCTTTTTGTTCTGTCCTTTTTCATTACAGTTATTTTTCAAAGTTTTTTTTTTTTTTGCTGTTGTTATTAAACTGTTCTTATCTCAACCCACAGGTTTTACCTTTTGTTTTTTTCCTGACTCTTTTCCCTATTCCACAGGGAGAGGGGAGGGAGGTGAGCAAGTTGCTGTGCCTGGTACTTAGCTGCTCACGGGAGTTAAACCATTGCAGTTTGCAAGAGATTTGGTTTTGAGTTCTTCCAATGTCTCTTAGGATACCCTTTTCAAATTATTTTCTATGAACTCCCCAGTTTGCCCTCTGCTTTGTTTTTTCATTGTGGAAAGCTATGATGCTCTTTATCCTCACCATTAAGTTACAGGATGTGCAAATAATAACTTTTGCTACTTTGGTATCCCCCCTAGCAAAACAGTCTGGTGGTTCTTTTATATCATGGATTTCAGGATGGGAACCTTTGTTTCCAAAAGTTGAGACACAACAGGAACATCTGTGTTTGCCATCTGCAAGATATTTCCTTCTAGGATCCCTGGGCTGGTTACAGGGCTTTCAGACATCCCTACTGCTTGTTCCCCTGGGTGCACAGGGAGGAGACAACAGGTGTGTAACTATAACACTGCTGCATGTCATTCTGAACTCTTCAGCACATCCTGCTGTCACTGGAGCACAGCCTGCCCAGGTCTGTTTGAACACCCAGCATCTCCTCTCAGTTGTGTGCAGCTGCTCATGCCTGCATCCCTTTTTATGCAGCTTTTGCTGTTAACAGCAAGGTGCTGGCCCTGGCAAAGCAGCCAGGTATCGTGGGAAAGAGCCTTCCCTAGTATTGGCCAGCCATTATAAGCTTGGAGAGGTTTTCAGTTTTAGATTTTTTGAGAAGGTCAAGAAAGAATTGTTTCTGTTTCTTTTTTTTTTTTCCCTCTGCAAAATTGTTTCTGAATATAGCAGTATTTATTGCTTACTTTCCTAACTTATTTAATCCTGCAACTGCCATTAGATAAAATAATGAACCGGGTTACTTTTTCATAAAGGCAATGTAAATACTTGTTTTCCACTGGATTCCATGAAAAAATGTTTTCATGGATTATTTGCAGTAAATTATTTTAAGTTATACATTTAAAAGTGAACAAAACTACATGTGTGAAAGTATATTTGATTATTTTTCATGAAGCTTCTTACCCTTTTATCCATGTTGCTATGAGATCTGAAATTTTAATGCTCATACTTTGATTTTCAGTTTCTTCCTTTTTCATTTATATTGCAAATGCTTACTATTGAGAAATTAAACAGTTTCCTGCATTCACTGCTTCCCTTCCCATCTTCTAGTTCCGGCCTGATTCTGATAGTATAGTTTATATGTTGTCATTTGTAGTGGTCCACTGGGTGAATTACAATTCTCTTGTGTGGGTTCTGCATTTTACATTTGGCTCTTGAAAGGTAGCTGGGGAGGAAGAAGGGCACAGTCTCAAACCTCTTTTTTTCCCAGATTTTTAGAATTTATTTACTACTCTGAGATGAAACAAATGAAAGATGGATGCTCTTTAATTTCCGTTGTGCTTTTTATCTCAAAAGCAGATTTTCTATTTAATAGAAGTGTTTCAAAACATTACTCCCAAGTGTCACCTAGACCCCCATCTACATAGAAAGTATTAAAAGAACTAGGGCATTTTACACCTATATTAATAATTTTTCCATACAGAACTATAGCATACTTTAACCTGTCAATCCTTCTCCAATAGTTGGCAATGCTTTTGCTCAGGCACAGTAATCTCACAAATTCATAGCCTGCTTTCTTTATATAGGGTACAATTATCAAGTAGGATGGAATAGGTCCTTCAAGGATGTTTCATAGACAATTTCTTTTTGAATGGATGGACACAATCTCAAGCAATTTGCAAGATCCTGAACAGATTGAATAATTAAAAATGGGTGACCATAATTTCCCAAGTATCTTTTTCCTCTTTAAAGTAAAAAAAAACCCTCACTAAGTTATGAACATTAACTTCTTCCTTACTTTGAGAATTCTCAATAACTTTCCTTATGATAACACAGGTCTCCAGGACCTTGCTTTTCACACTGCTTAAATTTCATGAGCCTCTGGCAATAGAGTGGTGATATGAGAAAGTTGAAACCTGAGAGCTGTTTTTCGGTAGGGTTTTTTAAAAGATTTCTTTGGATTGCAAGTCTGTAAATATGGTACAAAATGCAGGAAGTTTCAGCTCCCTCCCAGCACATTTTCATTTTCGAGTAGCTGTTCAGGCTATGTGTTGTAGTTTTGAACAGAAGATATTTAGAGCCATTCAGACTTGACTACCTACAGTGATGTTTCTAAATACATTTCAGGCTATTAGAATGCAGAGCCATTGGCTCTGTAGGAGGAGCGCTGAGTGGTCTGGCACTCTGATGACTAAAGATAAACTCTTTAACAGCCTAAATTTAGGCACCTCCTTTTAAAAACTTTGGCCCAGATATGTGAACCCAGAAGAATGAGATACGATAATTCATTTCAAATTCCCTGGCTCTTGCGTCTCCCCAGACTGAGCATTTATTCATACAAATTGCTCACTGTTGCAGATGAATCACTCAATGTAGCCAGTGCAATAACTCTGCACCTGAGCATTATTTAATTCTGCTTTGCTAATGCGAGCAGCACTTTGCTCTTTCTCTGTATGTTACAGCACCTGGCTACTTTGGCTTTGTCTGGATATATTTGGGAGGTGAATAGGGAGAAAATGTACACATTTTTGCCCTCCTGTTCATCACTGCTATCTTTTCTAAGAGCTGCTGTTCCTCAGGTGGTCAGTTTAATGTTCCTCCCAGCTAAAAGAAATGTAGGGGAGGCAATTACTAAGGGGATGATGCTCTTCATGATAAAGATAATTACCGTGTTCTGTCTGTGTTGATTTTCCTCTTTCAATGAGTTTGTGTTTTCTCTTGGGATTTTTGTCTCTTTTAAAGGAGTATTTCAGCTTGAGAACATGAGAAATAGATGGAGATATGTATGTGCCCACAATTTTCTCTTGTGGTTGTGTGGACTACACAAATGAGTAAAATTTTAAAACAGTTACTTTGGCAAGTAATTTATACCTTTTTTAAGGACACAGTGTAAGCTAAGATTAATGTTAAAGATGCTGGTGTTGGCTACTTTGTGAAGTTTTACCTCGTATTTTTGAAGGAATGAGATACCCCTTAGCCTACATAAAGGATGGATCTCTTGTCATTCCAGTGCAGCCTTAGAAGTCGTGGGCGTTTATTCTAAGCCACTCATCTGTAGTCAGTGTCATAAGAGAAGGTGATTCATCCCATCTGACACTAAATATCTGAGAGGCTTATTATACAGATGTGTTCTGAAGAGGAAGGTGGTTGATGATGTTCCTGCTCAGCCCAGTGCTACAGTCTACAGAGCCTCTGAGTACCACTGCAGTCTTTTTTTTTAACATACTGTGGAAATTATCCAGGTTAAAAACCAGTAACTGGAAGTATTTTGTTCATTTGTATTTGTTTGCAGAGTTTCTTTTATACTGGGTTCATTTCAGTGATTCATAGGGCCATTTATAACAGAGAAGTAAGAATATCTGTTCAATAAATGGGGTCATACTAGCACAGAAGAAAGAAGTGGTGGAAGGCAGGAACATTCAAAACCGTGTAATGATCTGCCTCCTGAAATACATGTGTGCACTGTTTTATTAGCAGAGATGAACACACTGCAGTAATTGTTTAACCATGTATTAAGCAGGACATTAACAATATCACTGGCAGTGTAGTGTACATCTCTCCATGCTTGCTATCACTTTATTAGACTATTAAGTGTCTTGAAGTGAGCTTATCCATGTCAAACAAAGGGGACACTTAGGAACTTGTGTGTTTATTGTGAGATCCTTCAACTGAGGTTCTCTCTCAGTACTAGCAGTGCAATCTTCTCCAGTTTTAGCTTCCCAGTGGGTTATACATGTATGGATAAATATGCAAACTGCTGAGGTGGGATGTTTCTTTATAATATTTAGTGATTATCCAAGTTCATACCAGGAACACAGTAATGTGACCATGCAAATAATAACTTTGTCTTGAGCCTTATGTAAATGTGAGGAGAGGGTGAACTCTCATATAAAGGTGTGAACTTCACTTGAGCATCTCACTGTCATGTTTTTAATTAACTAGGTGAGTTAACAGATAAACTATCAGAGGTGTAATGAGCCAGAGACAATATATTTTGGGAGGCATATTGAAAAGAAACCCAGCTGAGGAGGATCATTAGATATATCATAGAGAAGGTAGATCTCCTGAACTGCATGTTCTGTGCAGTTATTCATCACAGGATCCCTTATGCTCATGTACCACCCTGTCCCAGTGTACTTTTGTGGTACATGGACATAGTCAGGTACTTTGGTTTAGAAACTGAAGTCAGAGAAAAGTGGCTGCCACCAATTAGTTACTGTTCCATGAAGCAGCAGAGGAAGAGATGAAAAGAACTATACTGAAACAATATCAGTAGCAATGAAAACAATCAAAATTAGCTTTATATTACATTTTTATATAAGTTCTTTCTGGAATATATTTTCCATGTTTTATTTATTTTTATTATTATGTTTCTTTTTATTTTTGTAGGCTGTGGAAACCAACCTTGCATCAAAGGATAGTCACTGGGTCTATGTAAATGAGGTAAGAAAGTCAAAAGAGAAAACACAGCTCGCTACATCCACTCATCACCATCTTTTGTTTCATATGTTTTGACACACCAAACTGAGCATATGTGTAGCATTTTTGCTTTTTGAATGGCACAAGGTTCAAACTCTGTGGTGTCATTGCTTGTCTGTCTTAGTTGAATTGGCATAGGTTGGACACCAGGGGTCAAGATAAAGCTTCCAATGTACCTCAGAGCAGCTGGGAGACTTGCTTTCACCTTCCTGCTGACACTATTTCATTAGCTATTTAGGAAGCAGAGGATATCTCAAAAGAAATCTCAAACACAGGAATCTCTCTGGCAGAAGCTCACCCTCCACTGCTGTGAAAGCCTGCACACAGATGCCAGGAGAGGAAAGAGCCTTTGCAAGTTTAGTCCATTCAAATATGTATTTACATGACACAGAGGCTTTCTCTAGTGCAGAACTCTGTTGGTGTATTGGCCAACATCCAGGATAACTTAAATTCAAAGTGTAATGTTTCTCTCTGCAGCAAATGGGATCCTGTCCTACTACAAAGATTATTTATTTTACCTTAGTGCCATGATGCCCTAATGAGAAGCTGTTCAGATTCTTATTTCAAAAACAATGAAATGTTGTACCATATATAGTAACTTATAAATCACTGATAAATGGCAGTATTTTATAAATTCCTTGTTTTAATCATAATTTATTTAAAGATAGCAAAATATATAATTTAAAAAGAACAGTATTCAATGTATTATTTTTATATTACAAATTCACAGCCTCTAATTTAATAGCCAATTCCTTTGTTAATTTCTCCCTCCTTTCTTTGCACCTAGCTAATAATTTTGGATAGGCAACTTTTAATAGTAACTATAAATTGTATTGTATGGCATTAGACAGGCTCTGTAATTAAATAGGGGTTAGGGAAAGTGACTGAAATCCCTGCTTGTAAAGGCTTTATAAATTCTTTCTAGTCCTTTTTATATTTAAGTACCTCCTGGTTTGTCAGCTGCTGTAATGACCCACTACAAAACATCAGCAAAATGCCCAGAGTGTCCGTGTTTATATTCACATAAAGATAATGCAGTGCATATTTCCCTAAACATTTATAGAGAGGGAGTGTTTGTGAATTTTTTACTGCTTCTGTTATTGTTTAGATGTTAAAATTCAGTTCACGAAGTCTGAATCTGTAACATTGTGATAAAAGCCTTCAGCATTTGTGCACTAATGTGTGCACACTTGTACACACACAAACAAATCACACAGGGTGCCAGTTCTGCCTCTCTTTTGGATGCTTTTGGTTTTTTTCTCCTTTGTGGCTAAAGACTGGGTAGGGAAGCTATGAGAGCAGCATGCAAGTTTAAATTTCTAGTGAAAAATATCAGTGAAAATAATTAATAAATATCTACAAGTGCAATTCAGTCCAAACAGACAATTAGAGAAGCTTTTCAGACTCAAAAAACTTTGGAAAAAATCTTTGCAGGCAAAAGGAAGAAGAAATGTCTTGGCTATCCTTTCTTTTACAGAAGTGTTGGAATTTGTGTGTGATTAAAGCTGCTGTGAGAAGAAGGTGCATTGAGCATCTCCATGGATGCATCTATAGAAATTTGGAGGTTCCTTAGGGCTTGCTTCTTATTTAAGTGTGCATCCCCCCTTGCTAGCAAGAGGAGAGACTGATTAAGCTTTCCCTGTACATGTTTCCAATTAGTGGTAGTGGGAAGTGCATGAATATTTGATGGAAAAGATGATGCTGATTCTTACTGTGATTTGTGGAATGGAATTAACTTTTAATTCCCAACAGTCAAATAATCTCTTTTTGATGTGTTTGAACGTGAAAATCATTTCTCAGAATGGGTTGGGGAATGTGGGGCAAGGTTGTCCACACTGGGTCAGCTCCAAGGTACAACTTTTCTGATCTGGCCAGACCTCCTTAGGAGAGACGCTGGATCAGTATCAATCACAGAATGCTGCAATCGCCTCTTGTATAATAAGAAAAGCAATAAAAGAGACCCTTTATGATAGGAATACATATTTCTTAGAAGCTCTTTAAAATATTTCTCCACAACTGTAAAAGGAAATCCGCCTAATGAATTGCATGAGAGTAGAAGTCCATTATGCAAATGGACCAAAACCTTAGCCAGTCTTTTTTTGATCCTGTGCAGATTGAGGACCCTACACCCTGTTCACCCGGTGACCCAGTGATCCCATTGCAAGGAAAGAGGGATGTAGGGCTGACTGATTGAAGGGGCAGTGGCAGGAAGAGAGCACAGGGACCATTTTTTTCCATGGAGGTTCCTTGTATGAAGAGCACTGGATTGTAAGCAGGTTTTTTGGGCCTTTTGCACTCCAGGGAACCCATGAAGGGCTTTGGACAGCTCAGGCTACTGAGATCTGCTGACCCAGAGCACCTCACAGTGTACTCTGTCTCCCACTTCTCCTCAAGCCAATGTGGACCTGAAACTTAGACTTATCTTGCTCTAGGAAGCATGAGTATATAGCATGGTATTATTTCAATAAGAATTTTATTAATAAATTTTATTATTAAATTAAATCTACTTTACTCTCTTTGCACTGACAATCTGATAAAAATTTGTGTTTGATTATTTTTCCCTTGTGTGCTTTCCCATATGGTAGAATATTAAGTTAAGTTTTGGAGGTAGAACAAATTTTATCACTTAAATTTTGTTAGATAAGCATGACCACCAAGCTTTGGATGAGCTAACTGTAAATCTATATGACTGGTAATTATGCAGCAAATGAAAAAACAGCTGTACTGATAGAATCCTGTTTGCTAGTTTTCAATAACCCAGGTCTGTGCTGAAGTCTCTGTTCAGTTTAGATGCCATTGCTGGTGAGAAAGGACTTGGTCATCTTTAGAAAAAGGCTGGTTTATTGGGAGTTAAATTTATTGTATGGAGTTGGAAGGCTGAACCATTACCTGGCAGGTTTTCTAGGGTAAAAGAATACACAGGGATGGATCTTTTCAGGCAGTATCATGTCTTCATATGTCCTCTTTGCAGCCAAAGTGATAAAAAAACTTACTGCTTCAAAATATATATATTTGTTGTCCACTTTTCTGGTTTCAAACAGGTTATGTTTCAATATTGCAATAGCTGTCAAAAGTAGTGGAGATTAGAAGGGAAAAAAAAGAAAAGTATTTCTTACTACCCATCCCCATTTTGATTTATATTTCATCATTTGCACTTTTTGTTTTTATTAATCTAGAAATGCTAAATCATTTCTTTCTTTCATTTAGGTAGTGATTCTACCTAAATTATGGGTTAAATATGCCAGGTAGCTTTTTATGATGACTACTACATGCTTAGCTGTGTCTCCAGAATAGTCCAAACCACTTCATTATCATTGCCTGTGTGGGGAGCTGTCAATGACTTGCAGTTTTGAGAGATCTGTTAGAACATATCTGGTGTTCTTCTTGGACCTTTGCTGTTTATTCCTTTGGTGGTTGGAGTGACCCACCAGCTTTGATAGACGTGTGCTGCTGCTTCTTTTGAAAAGACTGGCACAGTTAGAGATGGCCCCTGTGTTTTGCATGTTTATTTCCTGTTTTTTTCCCTAGTTTTCTTTATTATTTTTATTTTTTCTCTTACTTTTCTTTCTCTTTCGTACCTGGCATTAAGCATCTCTGTTGGCTCCTCATGACATTTTTCATTCTACCCTTCTCTTTTTCTGCCTTTTCTGATAAAATGCTGTGCCTTGCCCAGGGCATGTGTCTGTGGGAGAGGTACAAGAGCAGTACTTGAAACTGAATTTGGATGTTGTTGTACCAGGAGCAGTGCTCCAGGAGCTTGTGTCTGCTTCTTTATTAGCAGCAGCAGTAGGTCTGGCAGTATAAAAAGAGTTAGAAACCATATTTCCCTGTTTGTGGGACTTTTCTTGGTTTTAAAATTGTCTCCATTCCAAGGGTAAAGAAGAGATAAATTATTCTGGAAAACTGGAATTTTGAACAAAATTATAATAAAATTAAACACAGTATTTTATTCCCTCATCTCAATATATTTAATTCTAATTCCAAGTTTCTAAACATTCACTATTTTTACATGTAAATCAGTACAAAAAGCAATGAACTACTCTTCCTGGAAGTGGAATGGTACAGAATTTGGCAGATAATTCAAGTTAGTTGTTTTGCTGTTAGGACATAATTTCTTTAATTTCCTTTTCACCTTCTTTTTTATTCCGCAGTTTAATCAAAAACTGTTAGACATGATCAGGCAAAGCACAGCACTACTCACTGGTATAGGAGAACACTTTTTGTGAAGGGCAGGTAGGGATGAAATAAAGATAATGCAGTGTTACATGTCAAAAAACATCTGTACCCATTCTGAAGCTGAGAAGAGGTGAGAGACAAACTTTTGCCTGGAAATATGCAGAAGACACTGAGGAAGACTGTTTTCAAATGTAACTTTTTTTTTTTTTTTAACAGAAATGCCCCAAAGACAAGAAATTAAAATAAAGGATAATTTTAATTTCCTTGCAGTGGAGAAAATTGGGTTGGGACACAGACAGAGCTTCACAAATTTCCTTTGATTGACCTTATCTCTACATGTTCAAAATGTTAAGGCAGCCATCAGTACAGATTTCATTATGGCTGAGGAAGAATGGGCTAAGAAAGCCAGAAGGTAATTCGTGTGAAAGTGATCATGCCATGGTAACATGAACTTTTTGGAAAAGAGGGAGAGGTGGGAAAAGGACCATGAGGATAATGGACATCAAAAGATTGTCCAACTTCACAGCTTTGGGAAACTAGTAATGCTTTTGGAAAGATAACACAGTAAGTAAAGGGTGGCTAAAGAACTGGGATTCTCTGAAGATGAAGGCATAACAAGGTATCCTTATGGTGACAGTGGGTTATCTTCACAGAACTTGAAATCAGAGATGAATTCTGAAGAAAAAGCAATTTAAGAAAAGGGCTAGGGAAGAGTGTAAAGGAGTAACGAAGTAAGGAATTATAAAATAAGCCCGTGTTGCAAAATGACTCATACCAGGGATCATGAA